AGCACTGGGAAAGTCGTCATAAGAGAGGCTGGATAAATGCTGCTGGCATTAAAGCAATGGTTAAAACATATTATACAGAATGCAGTTTTTTCACTGACTCTTCCTGACACTTGGAGCTGGAATTCCACAGAGTTACAGCATGTGCTAAAAACAACACTTTTTACACTGTTAATTAGGTGGGACCTTAATAACACATCTGTATCTCCCGGCTACGACTGCAATATATGTAATATATTTCAAGTTCTTGTTGTGATGAAAAGTTTTTTCTTTATATACAGACTGTGGTATAGATGCAACTAGACCCTGAGATCACTGAAATAATTAGACGAAGATAAAAATGGTCTTTTTGTCATTCTTTAAAAGCAGTACACCATGCTTTTTGTATAAAAAGCGGGATAATAACAAAACCATTAATGCATTCGTAGTGCGGTTTCCTCCAGTGCCCTTTATGTGGCTGTAGCTCAGGTGGCAGAGCAGGTCAGCCACTAATCAGAAGGTCGGTGGTTCGATCCCAGGCTGCATCCTGGCCGCATGCCAAATATCCTTGGGCAAGATACTAACCCCATGTTTGCCTACTGGTGGTGGTCAGAGGGCCCGGTGGCGCCTGTGTCCGGCAGCCTCGCCTCTGTCAGTGCGCCCCAGGGCAGCTGTGGCTACAATGTAGCTTGCTATCGCCAGTGTGTGAATGAATGGGTGAATGACTGAATGTAGTGTGAAGCGCTTTGGGGTCCTATGGACTAGAAAAGCGCTATACAAATGCAGGCCATTTACCTTTACCTCTACCATTAGAAAGTCTAATGTCTTTCACGCTGATGCTTGTATTGTGCTTATTTGAGGCTGAGATGCTTCATTAAAGCTCATCGAGATCTTTCCTCTTACCTTTTTTTGTTTAACTGTGTGTTGAAGATTGGACTGATGTGTTTGTATGTCACATTTCTTTGTGGATGTTGTGTTTACTGACAGTAGTATTTTGAGGAAAAAAGATCTTACCAGTGATTTTTGCTGCATCTGTCACAGCTACAAGGTCAGAAAATGGTCAGAGCTAACCTGACAGTTTCTCCAGTTGATGAAATATTAATATTATATTGTCTAAATCGTCCCTGTATTAAAGAACATAATGTGTGAGTAATTTCCATTTCATAACTAACATAGAAGCACAAGAGGGTAACACAGGTCGGACATTATTTTCTTTTAACCAAGCACCATGCTGATTTCTAATCTTGATTTTAGACTTAATCATTATTACATTCACAATCAGAATTTCTTTCAGGGAAAACTTTTTTCACTGGTTTGTTTCGGTGTTGCAGTTCTTACCCTCCCTAAAGGTCCAAACTCACTCACGGATTAATTTGGCTGCAGCCAACATAATGAATTTATTATAATTGAGTTCATTAGTAAACAAGGTCAATGAGATGCAAACGTTGCAAAAGGTTCTGTAAGTAACTCTGTGAAAACGTCACTAACTCTTTGGGATCTTCTGGTTCTTCTTGTTCTGATCACCCCAAAGTATTGGCAATCAGTAGGACTGGCACTGAGCAGTGCTGATTTCTAACCCTGGAATATTTCTAACATTTTGAGTTATTTTCCAGTGTTAGAAAATCAGCACTGCTCACTGTTAATCTTCAAAACTGACTAGGTTACTTTTAAACATATAACACTGTCAAAAGTGTTAATTTAACACTCAACAGTGTTGTATTAACACTCAGAGGTGTGGACCCATATAGACACTCTCCAGTGTTAAATTAACACTGGAGATTTTGCTGTGAGGACAGAAAAACTGAAGCAGAAAAAGTGCAAACTTCACCAACATCTGATGATATTTTGCACACTGCCAGTTACATGCAATCACGTGAAGCTGAGATCTTTGATTTCATCTTTATGTTTCTTGTTTTTCTTAGTAAATAATTAAAGCTAATATGCACTCCCATCCAACCACCACTATGGTTGCAGGTCTTTGACTACGGTCCCATCATTACATTTCCTGCTCATCTATGTCCATTGAACTGAACAGCTGGAGACCAGCCAGACTAGCAGAAACCAATTATCAAGACTTGATTGTTCCCCGTCCTTTCCAAAAAATTATATGAAGCCATAAACGTCTTGTGGAAAATTGCATCTTATGAGGAGCTGGCTGCAATGCTTTTGATGAATAGGATTGTACTCTTTTTATTCCTCGTCACTATATTCTCTCTTAGGTAACTTCGGTTTAACTGTTTATGAACTCAGAGAACTTTAATTTCTGCTGTTTTATCCAAGTAAATCATAGCAAAAGAATCCTGGCCTTTATTAGAGATCCGATATTTACAAAGAGCACATGTCAAATAAAATACAGCACTGATGTACTGCCTCAACCCTTGTGTCAAATCAAACACCAAATTGTCCTCTAAGTTTAGTTTACATGATGAGTTCAACAGTAAATTATTGAAAAATTAGCAAATATTTGAGTGAATATTTAATTTTTATGTAAATCTGGTGAAGACAGTGTTGTTAATATATAGTATAGTCACATGATAAAGAAATCACATATTTCTAGACTTATGGCAGCAACAGTTGCTTCTCTAAGGTGGTGATGTATTTCCTCTTTGACATTGTTTTAACAGCGAAAACTATATTTTATAGATGTGCTCATATTTGCTGATGATCAGTTAATCCAGTAATTTGATTAGCAGGACATGGCTGCTACTTACCTTGTTATTTCCTGTGGAAGTAGTAAGGATGGAATTCGTTTTTCAAACATTGCTTCTGCATTTTGACTTCATTTTTGGTCAATAAAAAAGACCTTCTTGCTTTGCTGTTCATTTTTATGTAAGTAGTTTTAAGACCTGCTAAATATACGGTCATTTTTATGATGCTCTTGCACATAACATCTTAGAATTAAGAGAGGCAACATTTTACATGTACATGGCTACATTTTTACAGAGACTTCTTTTAATTTCAGCAGCATAAACAATAAAGTAAAAGAATCCTGAACTGAAATAATAGATGTAAAATATGTAGACCAAGGCTTCTGCGAGTGATTTAGGTTTGGTGTAGTTCCACTGTTTTAAAACCTCAGTGTACTGACTTATTCCCATTACTGTTTCGACAGTGTGGCTGGGAAACTTTGGGGGAAATGGCTCTTAGCCTCAAGAAGCACATTATCCTCATTTCACCTTTTCTATACTTTAATGAAGTCAATAAAAGTGACTCCTTGTATGAATGCTGCTTTAGGCAAGCCACACAAGACTGCTAGCCCACAGTCTATGAAAACAGAATAAGATACAAAGTGAACTTAAATGTTCAATTAATTGCCTTTGAAATCAAGCACAAAGCAGAGGTTTCAAAAACCCTCTCTCGCTCTGACAGGAGCCGGGCCTGAATCCTCTGTAGATACTGGTAAGGACCACACCTTGATGACCTAGTAGATGGCTATATACATGGTTAGACCCCAGTCATATAAAGAGGCCAACTACCAGTTGGAAAGGAAAAGTGTAAATTCTACAATGCAAGTAGTTGCTGTCAGTCCCTAATGAGAAACTGGTTACAAAGAAATACACAGTGTTGCATTGACAACCTCTTTGCAATCAATTTGGTCTGTAGCAGGTTGCCGTGGTGCCAGTATTTTTGTGTTTCCCTGCAAACACTAACAAACTACCCAAGAGCTGTACTGAAACTGTGAAATGTGTGATGTAAATCAGAAACCATATGCCTTCAAAGTAAAAGATGTTCCTTTGCAAATGAGTTAATTGCAGACAAAATGTTTACTTGTAAACAGTCTCTCTTTCTTTATTGCATCACAGATTTTTTTTTAAGTTTCACTACAACTCAAAGAATGATTGGCAAGTGCATCTTTCATGCAAACTGAGAGTGAAAACTGCAATGTGCCAGCAACCAAAGCAACCATAAAGGGATGTTGGGTGCTTTCTGCTTTTCTTTAAACTTAGCAAGAGCCAGAGCACCCAGCAGGGAATACACATTTTTCTCTAGCAACTGGAGGCTGTCAGGGGTCACATAGGCCTGTGTGACTGAGGCCTTATTGTACCTGGCAAGCTAGCATTACCCAGGATGATGTTTGGCAGCTTAAATTTACAAATTGGCAATCTTTAAATAATCTGTGTTTCACTAATTGTTGTGTCCCACAAGGTTTGCTCTTTGAGTTACTTATGGATTGTTAACTGGTGTCTTAACTCTATCACATACTTAGGACCATGAGTAAGAAGGGTCGCCTCTCTGTAAATGAGAAAATTTGAGCATCACGACCTTAAAGATCCGCTTAACATCTTTTCAGGTCTTAAGTACACATAAACAAACGTGATCCAAGATCTTTTCACATGACATGTCTTTTGTTTTGAATTTTATGCCGTGCTGCCATTTTTTACAGATTTTGCATTTCTCTGTCTGATGCTTAATACCTACAGTACAAGACAAGTTTTTCTATAAGAAACCTAAAAAAATAAACTATGGACACCTCCGGGTTTTGTGACTTGCTTGAAAATGAGAGCCATAAAATCATAATGTAAGCATTATGACATGAAGGCTTTTTATTCACCGGGAATAATCAATACGGAGGAAATTAAAGGCTTTTCAAGCAGTGTTTCAGAAGAATGTGCTTGATTTTTTGTGGTATTATTTGATTCATAACACTTTTCTGAACCATTTTATTTTTTGGTTAGATTTCAAAGTTGTATTCTCCCTGTTTTAAATCAATGTGAAGTGCAATATCCATTCTTGATCCACCTGCACTTCCAACATTTCTTGTCCATTCTCATTGCTTGTCGTAGCTTCTTCTGCCAAGACTCAAAATGTCCCACACTGTCATCCCATCATATCCTTGTTGCTCTGTTCACTGACATACTGCATGCTGCTACCAGTTGGTGTTTTCTCTCTGTTAGTGTTGAAGGCATCTCAAATTCAATCTAATGCAGCATTTTTGGCCTGTGAAGACTTCAGTATCCCACAATTTACTGACAGATATATAGACCGTAGATAGTTGGTGTTTAGGTCTGCATGTGTGTACTTACCCACTGAAATGGTCCACACTGCCATGATCTTGATGCGGGCCTTGGTGTGAGAATTGAAGCGGCTGTGGTGGATTGGGTTGCGTATGGCAATGTATCTATCCAGAGAAATGGCACAAAGGTGCATGATGGATGCTGTGGAGAACAGGACGTCCAGATAGATCCAGATGGGGCAAAGATCAGAGGGCAGGGGCCAACCGTAATCTGCAGAAGGGCAGAGAGTACATATTTGTTGAATCTGTGAAAATAGCTTTACCTGGATGAACAATGGTGCTTTAGTCTCAGTGTTCCGGATGATATCTTCCAAAAGGCAATTTCACTGCATTGTATCAACAGTGATGCATTTTAGTGCTGTGTGGTGTCAACATTACATCTTCTGCTACTTGACTGATAAATATCTTTCTTCAATTATTTAAAACTGCATTTTTCAGGTTTTCCCCGAAGTTAAGCTTTATTTACACCTGACTGATATTCACAGACTTAAAATTAAAATTCAGTAGAGACCATTTATTGAGAACATGCCACTTAAAAACGTGTTTCAAAATCACTCAGAAATGGTACTTTTTTCAAATACTGATGTTTTTAAGCAACTTTCATTTAAAATCACTCTTGATCTTAACTGTCAGCGCTTGACCAATGAGGTGAATCCATGAATGAGTTTGGGTGCACAAAATTTGGAATTAACAAAATCACAGAGGAGAAAAACACTGTGCGAGCTGCTGAAAATGTTGAAAAATCTCTGCATAGCATTGTTTCTGGCAGGCCGTAGCCTGAAGCTTAGCCAGCAATCTTGGCAGATCAGTTGTTTTCAAAATCATCAGCTGATTGCTCTGCGGATACTCAGATGAACATCCTATTGGCAAATCTCACAAATCTCACAACCTGCTTCAGCCTGCATACAGTGGGAGCTGTCACTGTATGCAGGCTCATGCTCCTTCACAAAGCCACCTCCACCCTCATTTCTTCCATATCATGCTATTCATGTTCTTCTCACTTAATTAAAGTCATGTCATTGTTACTGATAAGACAAATCTGCAGCTGCTCTCGCTGCCTTTTGACTTTGCACATTTGTGAGTGGCAGGCCAGGAAGGTCTCAGAACAGAGTCCCACTTCCAAACATAAATTATTGTCACTGAATAATAATCTTATTTTATTTACTCTGAAAGGTCCTCAGAGAACTGACATTAGAAGAGATCATGATATGAAATTAAACTATTTTTCTTGGATTATTATCAAACAAGAATCCAGGTTTAATTTTGTTATAAAATGTGTCTGAGCAGCAGTACAAAGTAACACTCAATAGAATGCTTATTCTTTTTCACAAAGACCATTGAAATTCCCACAAGAGCTTGCATTTAAGCTAGTGGAACAAAGCCTAACCTGGTCATGACCTCACTGTTTTACTTCTTCATGGCTCAATCCAGTTTAGAAATGTAGGTAGTTTAAACCTCAACTGCTGCATTGGAATCTTAAGAATAATATAGTATTGTAATATGTGTAAAATGACCTCATGCTTGGGTATTTTTATAGCAAGAAATATGCCCACAAGATACCTTAAAAGGTGGTATTTGTGCTTCTTGTTGATATATTTAATTTGCTGTCCCAAGTGAAGTAATGTTAATGCTTTACCAGTATGCTGCTTTGAAGAATTAGCTGAGCCTCAAAGTGAACGGTATGTTTGCATTCTCGTCTTTGCAAGCTTTATGTACTGTTTGAAAGAATCAGACCGAGGATAAAGGAGGCATTAAAATTTGTTTCCTACTGTATCATACAGGACTCAGAGACATGGGTGAGGAAATGGATTTTCTGCTTTTTAACACAGATTGGAGCCTGCTGATGTGGCTCGGGCATCTACACGGAAAGTATGGAACCATGGTGCATAACTGCAAGAACAGAAAAAGCAGGAGGCATGACACCACAGAAGATGAAACATGAGGACTAACTGGAAAAATACTGTTACGGGGGTGATGAGTAAGAGAACCCAGACGCGGATCGCTCGTTAAGATTGAACAGTGTCTTTATTTACAGTGAAGCAAATCCAAAGTAATCCATAGTGCTAAGTCCCTTCCGTGCTCCCCTCGTGTGTCCATACGACTTTCGTGAACAGTGACGTCTCTCCTCTCGTATCTCCGTCTCACTCGTAGCCTGGAAAAAAGGCAAACAGATGCGGTTAGCCTCCCTCCGCTATCAAACGTTTGTCTAACACTCGCTGAATTCGAGTCACTACCCGGCTTGGTGGAATACTCCAGTGCTGTCTGTCACTCAGCCACACCATTAAATAGTTCTGTCACAATGGTGGATGATTGGCAGCAGCTGGTGAGGAAATCAGTTGCAGGTGGGACCACTCAGAGTGGCGAACTTCCGGGTCGGACATCTCCCGTTGCTACGCAACCGCGTAACAACTACAACGGAGACAAAAACAGAGCGGGAGAACAAACACCACACACACACACAGGTCGCCGGTCGGGGCACCGTCGAACCTGACAGTACCCCCCCTCTAATGGAGCCTCCCGGCGACCAGCAAACTTATCAGGGTGCCTGCGGCGGAAGTCTCTCACCATGGCAGCATCGAGAACCGCGGACCGCGGCACCCAAGAACGCTCTTCCGGACCGTACCCCTCCCAGTCCACCAAAAACTGAAAGCCCCTACCGCGGCGCCGGGCATCCAATATCCGTGATACGGAATACGCCGGCGAGCCGTCGATAATCCGGGCGGGTGGCGGGGCCGGAGGGCGGCACAAAGGGCTGGTCCGGACAGGCCTCACCTGGGACACATGAAAGACATTGTGAATTCTCATGGAACGGGGAAGAGACAAACGTACAGTCACAGGATTCCAACCACGGCCAGGATGGGGAAGGGCCGATAAAGCGTGGAGCCAGTTTCCCTAGACTCGACCCTCAGAGGAACATATTTCGCAGACAGCCATACCTGTTGCCCCGACCTGGTATGCAGGGGCCGGAGCACGGCGGCGATCCGCAAGTCTCTTGTTCTGCTCAGCGGTCCTCAAGAGGGCGGTCCGGGTGGCGCGCCATGCCCGCTGGCAGCGCCGCAGGTGGTGCTGGACTGAAGGAACCGACAATTCCCCCTCCGACACAGAGAGAAGCGGGGGCTGATACCCCAGGGAGGCCTCAAACGGGGAAACCCCAGTAGCCACCGACGTGCTAGCATTATGGGCATATTCGACCCACGCCAGTTGATCGCTCCATGATGACTGGTTCGAAGAGACCACACAACGCAGCATCGCTTCGAGCTCTTGATTAGCCCGTTCCGCTTGCCCGTTGGTTTGAGGGTGGAAGCCGGACGACAAGCTGGCCTGGGCCCCCAGTTCCTTACAAAACTCCTTCCACACTCGCGACGTGAATTGGGGACCCCGATCGGACACGATATCTTGGGGAACCCCATGGAGACGGAACACCTGCTGCGTGAGAATCCGAAGGGAGTTTCGGCAGAGCAACGAAATGAACAGCCTTTGAGAAGCGATCGATCACGGTCAAGATGACTGTGTGACCCGAGGAGGGGGAAGACCGGTAACAAAGTCCAGTGCAATATGAGACCACGGGCGGCTGGGCACAGGCAATGGACGAAGGAGGCCAGCAGGGGGTGAACAGGAGACCTTGTTTCGGGCACAAACGGGGCAAGCGGCCACATACTCCCGAGCGTCCTTCCCTAGAGTCGGCCACCAAAACAAACGTTGCAGAAAGGCGATAGTGCGGTTTTTACCCGGGTGGCAGGCAAACTTGGCCGTATGGACCCAGTGAAGGACCTTACTTCGGACCGCCGCGGGAACAAACATCCTCCCATCGGGCCCAGTGCCCGGATCAGGTTCCGACCGCTGGGCAGCCTTAATAACCCGCTCTATGTCCCAGGTCAGAGCCCCCACGAAGCACGAGGATGGCAGAATGGGTCTCTCTCGTCTGGGTCGAGATCCGGGGAAAATTGGCGCGATAAAGCATCTGCTTTAAGATTGCGGGAGCCAGGTCTGTAAGAGATGGTCAAGTTAAACCGAGTGAAAAACAGAGCCCACCTGGCCTGCCGGGCATTCAGTCTTTTGGCCGCTTGGAGGTAGGTCAAGTTCTTGTGGTCTGTCCAGATAACCACCGGATGCTCGCTGCCTTCGAGCCAATGTCGCCACTCTTCAAGCGCCAACTTAATGGCGAGGAGCTCCCGGTCTCCAACGTCGTAATTGCACTCTGCAGGAGATAAGCGACGTGAGAAAAAGGCACATGGGTGTAATTTTGCATTCACTCGTTGGGATAGTATTGCCCCCACACCTGCGTCTGAAGCATCCACCTCCACAAAAAAAGGTTGACTGATGTCTGCCTGTACCAACACCGGAGCTGAGGAAAAGAGGTGCTTGAGTCTCACAAAAGCCCGTTCAGCGCCGGGAGACCACTGGAATGGCTGCTTAGGAGAGGTTAGGTTGGTGAGAGGCAGGGCGACCTGACTGAAATTGCGGATAAACCGTCGATAGAAGTTGGCAAATCCCAGAAACTTCTGCAGCTGCTTACGGTTCTTGGGTTCAGGCCATTCCACCACTGCCCTCACTTTGGCCGGATCTGCCCGCAGCCGTCCCTCCTCGATGATGAACCCCAAAAAGGAGACTGTCTGCACGTGAAACTCACACTTCTCTGCCTTTACAAACAGCCGGTTCTCCAACAGGCGCTGCAACACCATTCTCACGTGCTTGACATGGTCAGCGGGTTCCGAGAAAACACAAGGATGTCGTCTAGATAAACGAAAACACAATGATTAATGAAGTCCCGTAAAACATCATTTATCATGGCTTGGAAGACCGCCGGAGCATTCGTGAGCCCGAAAGGCATCACCAAATATTCAAAGTGCCCACGATGCGTGTTGAACGCCGTCTTCCACTCATCCCCCTGGCGGATTCTCACCAGATGATAAGCACTGCGGAGGTCCAGTTTAGAAAAGATGGCAGCCCCCTGAAGGAGTTCAAAAGCAGAGGTGAGTAAAGGAAGCGGGTATTTGTTCTTAATGGTTATCTTGTTAAGACCTCGAAAGTCAATGCAGGGGCGGAGCGTTTTGTCTTTCTTCTCAACGAAGAAGAAACCTGCCGCGAGAGAGAGGAATTATCCCGGCCGCCAGCGAGTCGGTGATGTAGCCCTCCATTACCTCTCGCTCTGATTTCGAAATACTGTATAGACGGCTTGTGGGCAAGGGAGCGCCGGGTAGCAAGTCTATCCCACAATCGTACGGACGATGGGGGGAAGAGACTGGGCCTTTTCTTTACTGAACACCTGGGCTAGGTCGTGATATTCAGCTGGAACTGCAGTCAAATCGGGAGGAGCGTCAGGTGAAGATGGGCTAGTGGACGTCTGGCTAACTGTAGCAGAACGTAAACACTGTTCATGACACTTAGGACTCCACCCAGTTATCCTGCTGTTCTCCCAATCGATCTGCGGGTTATGGCGTTCGAGCCAGGGGTAGCCCAAAACTAGCGGAGTGTGAGGAGCCTTGAACAGAAACAGGCTGATTTGTTCAACATGGTTTCCGGAAAGAGAAAGAGTCAAATCAGTAGTGCGATGTGTTATACTGGCCAAGGGGCACCATTCAGCGCCGCCACCTGGAGGACCTCAGGTAAGGGTTCAACAGGTATGCCCAACGTCTGGGCCAGGGCTTCGTCAATAAAACTTTGTTCGGCCCCCGAATCGATTAAAGCACTACATGGGTGAATACAGGACTGGAAAATCAATTTGGCAGGACAGCTGAGGTGGGGCAAGATGTTTGCGGTAACGCCCGTCAGTATGCCCACGGCTACTGACGAGCAGCGTCTTTTCCCGACTCTGGGCATTTATCAGAAAAGTGTCCTCTCTTTCCGCAAGTGAAACACTCACCCCCCTGAGGTCTTCTCCGTCGGGCCACAGACCTAAAGCTGGCTCGACCGATCTGCATGGGCTGCTCCTCCTCCAACGGCTGCCCACTCCCGTCTCCACTCGAGAGAGGGCCCTGCCGAGGTTTTGCTGCCGCCCGCTGGTCGCCGTCCAAACTCACGCCTATGCTCATCCAACTGAATGCACACATTCACCAAAGCACTGAGCGACTTAGGCAGTTCTCTTGAGGCCAACTCACGTTTTAGATTTTCGTTCAGGCCGTTTATGAAAGCCCCTCGTAGTGCATTTTCTTGCCAGCCGGTCTCCTCGGCCAAAATCCAGAAGTCAATCGAGAAGTCCGCTACACTCCTCCATCCTTGTTTCAGGGAAAACATGCGATGTGCTGCGCTGTCGGCGCTGGAGCCTTTGTCAAAAACACAACGAAATTTGCACAAAAAATCTTCATAAGAGATAGCAGGTTGCATGCTTACCACGGCCTGGGCCCATTGTAAAGCGCGTCCAGTCATTGATTCCACCATTAACCCCACCTTGGCTCCATCTGAGAAATAAGACCGAGGCTGTTCTCTAAAAATGAACGAACATTGTGTTAAGAACCCGCGGCTCTTATCCAGATCCCCACTAAACTTCTCAGGGGCCGGCAGCGGGTGCTGCAGTGTGGGAGGGGAAGGAGGCAGAGGAGAAGCCGCGGCTGTGCTGAGAGACGGCCCGGGCGACGGAGCATCAGCTGCAGCCCCAGGGGGAGTTAGCAAAATCCCTTTTAATTCAGCAACCAGCTGCCGTAACACAGTTTGTTCT